TCGGTACTTTCAAAGTAGTAGATTCAGATTCAGATTCAATATTTTATTATAGTCTCACCGCAGTAGTATTCGGTAAAAAGTACTTGCTTGTTTAAGTGGCACCAAAGCCTTAAGTTTTTGTAGGAAACTTGCAAAAAGACCATTACTGCAATTACCATATTATCTGTGAGATTAATTCTTATGGCTTGTTCGGTCTAATATTCTAAAGGTGAACACATGAGTACCTCTTCATTTTATGCAAAACTGACTAGATCAATACATATATCGAACCAGGACAGACGTAGGGATGCCTGTCAATAGAAATACATAAATGTACCAAACATAAAGATTCAATGTCTATACGTTCTTACCAGTTATGGTTGATTTTTTTTCAAACATTCCTCATGTTTACAATAGGCAACTGAATGTCATAGCCTGACTTGTCGTGTTAGAATTATGAGTTTAAATGCCCTTTTGGTATCTTACGCCATTTTTTGTCTCGCCTTGACGGAGTCAAAAAGCGAGACATAGGTATGCTGTATCCGGCGTCGGCGGCGGCGGCGGCGTCAACAATGTATTAGTTTGTGATTAGGTCTAGTTCATGGTGAACCACTAGTGGTAGGTCAATGATATTTGGTATGCAGTTGTATTAGCATTGGCACATCTCATTACCATGGAGATTATTTGGCCCCGCCCCCTCAGTCAAGGTCTATTGACTTTGAAACTTTTCATAGTTTACATGTATTAGTTTGTGATTAGGTCAATTTATGGGGAACCACTAGTGGTAGGTCAATGATATTTGGTATGCAGTTGTATTAGCATTGGCACATCTCATTACCATGGAGATTATTTGGCCCCGCCCCCTCAGTCAAGGTCTATTGACTTTGAAACTTTTCATAGTTTACATGTATTAGTTTGTGATTAGGTCAATTTATGGGGAATTGCTAGTGGTAGGTCAATGATATTTGGTATGCAGTTGTATAAGCATTGGCATATCTCATTTCCATGGAGATTATTTGGCTCCGCTCCCTTAGTCATGGTCTATAGACTTTGAAAAGTTTGCTAAGTTAACATGTATTAGTTTGTGATTAGGTCAGTTCAAGGGGAACCATTAGTGGTAGGCCAATGTTAATTGGTGTTCAGTTGTATAAGCATTAGCACATCTCATTTTCATGGAAAATATTTGGCCCCGCCCCCTCAGTCATGGTCTATTTAGTTTGAAACTTTTGCTTACTTTACATGCATTAGTTTGTGATTAGATCAGTTTAAGATGAACTGCTAATGTTAAGTCAATGATATTTGGTATGCAAATTTATTGGCATTTGGATGTATCGTTCCCATGGAGATTATATAGCCCCACCCCTGATCATGGTTCATTGACTTTGAAACTTTTACATAGTTTACAAGTTAATGTTTGTGTTTAGGTTTGTTTAAAGGGAACGACTTATAATAAGTCAATGGTATTTGGTATGCAGTTGTATTAGCATTGGCACATCTCATTCCATGGAGATTGTTTAACCATGTACCTTCAGTCATGGTTCATCGACTTTAAATATTTGCATAACTTACATGATAAAGTATTGCTATTTTAATCTCAACATGTGCATTATCAAAATTACAAAAAAGCGAGACGTATCTCTGTGATAACAGTTTATGTTAAGGTTATATTCGAATGAGTGTGGTGGACAGAGACAGGTTTTACTCCCGGACACCAAACCTCCAACTTTTATGACAGATCTAATTTAACAATGTAACTTGACGGCAGTTTGATTAATTGGACTTGTTTATATGTTGTGTACAAGTTATCATTTTGTACAAATTATAATTTGTATTTTGACTTTGTACAAATTGTTATTTGTACAAAAAGTGCTGGTATACAAATTACAATTTGTTCAACATTTGGCTAAAATTCACTTATAACTTGTACAATAATTTATAGTATGGATTTTGTTATAAAAAAGCATTGATACATATATATAATTTTTATTCAATGACCACACAATAAACCTTATTTACAAAATACAAAAATACCAAGATGGAGACAGGAAATGTACTTGCATGCCAGTTAATTCTGATAGTACTATAGAAATTGGCCCCAATGACAATTTTGATAGTATAACAGGAATTGGCTCCAGTGACAATTTTGATAGTACTAATAGAAATTTGCCCGAGTGACAATCAGGATGACACTGACGTTGAAACACCAGTCATACGTGCCAGGAAGCGTGCGCTATCTGGCCAACAGATACAAGTCGAATATCTAATCAAGAAAACCAAACGGAAATCATCAGAACTTGCTGTGGGGGATGGTGTCATTATACTAATTCCTCAGTATGATCGTGCCCCAACTGACCATCGAAATATCTTAGGTGTAATTACTATCTGGAGAATTTGGGTACCGCATTGGAACAACTGTAGGAATTTTAACAGGATATTTGTTGAGCAATCAAATTGAAGCTGTTACAGACACATCTTTATTCGCAGCTTCAACTTTCGCTACGTGAAGTAGTTAAAAAGCTTTAAAAAACTGGTGGTCAGGAGTTTCTTTCATGTAAATGCAAAGAGGAGTGCAGCACTTCTAAATGTAAATGTAAATGTAAAAAGCAAAAGATGTTGTGCAATTCCCGATGCCATAATTCACTCACATGCTCAAACAAATGATACAGAACTAATTTTTGTATCTTGTATATAAGGTTTGTTGTGTGGTCATTGAACAAAAAAAATTATAATGTGTATCAATGCTTTTTTTATAACAAAATCCATACTATAAATTATTGTACAAGTTATATAAGTGAATTTTAGTCAAATTTTGTACAAATTGTAATTTGTACAAGCACTTTTTGTACAAAGTCAAAATACAAATAATAATTTGTACATTTTTTTTGCACAAATTATAATATGTACAAAATGATAACTTGTACAAAACATATATACCCTTTCAATCAAACAAATGTTGGTGTGTATATATGAATTCTATACATCTAAACAAACTTGGATGTAAATTTATACAGCAAGAGTAGTCGTAAAAGTTTTAATTCGCCAAGAAAACCTGACACAACCTCATGTAGTTATTGAACGTCGACAATCATTTTGGGCATAGATGAGTATTCCTACACCCCGAAGGCTCTCAATAAGAATAGTCGTAAAGGCTCTTGTGGTTACAGAAAGCCTGGCATACATCAGATTTCATTGAAAGGGGGATATACAGTGACAAAAAAAAATTTATATAAATCCACTTGACGTTGTACAAACAGTTGCAACCTAACATGAATATTATATTTAACATCCCTAATCATAACGGACGTGGCGGCGTATTTACACATCCCGAACAGTCAAGCGCACCCTGGTAAGAGTAGTTGTACGGGAACACTGCATCATCTAGAATGCATCAATTGTCATTTGAAAAATTAATAAAAAATTTAACAGAAGAGTTAATAAATTTCAACTAAGTTCTAGTATCTTCCACTGTTTATAAAAAAAACGAATGAGAAGTTCTCGGGCCAACCCTTTATACTGTCTTCTGTACTGTACATTAGTCTAAACAGTCATTGCAGGCCCTAGAATATGTAATCAGTTGTGACACAAAATCTCTATATGTAGGTTGCTGCTGTCGTGTTGATATTAAAACGTCTCGTTTGCCATAGCAGTGCATGGTGCGGAAGTGACCACTGTTGACGAGATCCATGTTTACGTCTAAAGCATCAAATTATTTATCTTGATGATAATTTAGTTAAGTAATAGGGAATGGAAATAGAATAGGTGCACATTTTTTATTAATTGTTGTCCCTTTTATTAAATGATGCTTTTTGGGACAAAACCGTCGTTGGATCATACAGCAGCATACCACGGTGTTATTTGTGGTATTATTATTTTTTTCTTGATTTGTGGTATTATTATTTTTTTCTTGATGCTTTTTCCTGATAGATAAGGTACAAAATAGTGTGACATGAATAGGTGACATAGAACAGACGTCTTGCACTTTGATATAGACTAATTTATCACTTGTTTTTATTAGGAATTGGTTAGTATTATAGGAACTTGTAACATTTTATCCCCCGATCGGAATCCCCGATGTAATGGTGTATTTGATGATTAAAGCGAGGTCTAGTTAACTAATGGTCTGTCACATCAACAAATTGCCTTTTAGAGCATTAATTAACTTTCGTTTGTGATTTGCGAGGCACAATGATATAATTAATGTTCACATAGATACCGATCAATCGGGACGATTAAGAAAATATTTACAAAAGCCAATGAAGATAAAAATAAACGGGATAAATTATTGTAGCAGTAAAATATATGTCAGCTTGTCTGAGGTGCAATTCCAAGTCGTCAATAGCGTCTTCGTGCTATGTCTTTGTTGCGCAAAGTTCTAACCTCAATGTGAGATATATCTTCATAAATTATTTCTGTATTCATTTCTTCTCTCGGTCTCTCGGTTTGATTTCAATTATATGATAAAATTTCCACTTCCCACGGTCGTTTTATTTAGTTACTAGTACATTGGAAGAATTTATCATAATAAACATTAATTTTCGTTATACTCCTCAAAATTTACCTCATCAAACTGTGTTAATCATAATGACATTTTTTTTTAATTTAATAGTGAACGATTATAAAATTTGATCTGTATTTTATATTTGCCACTGGATCCTAAATACTAAAAACCAAAATATGCACTCCATATTTTTTATCCATTTTTTTTCCATTGTGACGGCTTGACATGTCTAGAAGATGTTTAGATATGTATTAGAAACTGGGATAAAACGACTATAATAAAAATCATCAGTCCTATATAAAAAGAAAAAACAGGGGGGGAAAAAAACGACGAAAATGCAAACATTCATGATAATAAAAACTAGAAACCGAGCAATACAAACCCCCTTCAAAAACCGTTGGTGAACTCGTGCGCTCCGAAAGGGTAGTTGAAACTAATACATTACCTCGTGATGCCAGTATTGTATTTTCTTTTCAACTGTAGGTTAATATAATCTTGAAATAGGTTAAATCAATGAACACAATACTAGATAAAGCTTTATTTGCATATGCGAAGGAGTATATCATTTATAGATCAAATGTAAATATGGTAATTTAAATAATTTAAAAGTTGAAGTAATGAATATTTTCATTTTCATCTTAATAAGCCGGACATCTTTTTCAGGGGCATATGATAGTTACTTTCAGACATACTTAATTTGTACGACTGTCTTCTCGTGTGATACCAATGACAACAAAACATATAACGTAAAGTCCTGCGGAAATAAGGACTTATTATACAATAAAGAGCAAAATTTACGGAAAAGTTTACCGTTTGCATAAAATTCATGGTTGCCTCTATGGCATTTAGCAGATCTCTGTTATTTTCATCTCGCCTTATTCCTGCAATGAAGAATAAAACAATTTCTGATGGTGCAACTAGTATGAAGAACATCACAACTATAGTAATAAGGGTTATCGTTAAAGTATTACTAGAATCAGTCCGTTCTCGGTGTTTCACCTGAAACCTCTGTCGATATTTGTAAGATTTATGTACTCTCCAGCATATTTTTATGTTAAATCCAATAAGAAGAACTAGGGGGATAAAGTTGCCTACAATTGCCCATAATATTCTATAGACGTTGTCCTTTAGTGCGTCATTTCCAAGGGGTACCGAATCTAATCGGTAGATAAAGTCTGTAGAATTAATTATACATTTTTCTTCAATTTTATATCTCCATAAAACAGGAACATTAAAAGCAAAAGCAACGATATAGACTATCACTATGATTAACTTGGTCTTTCTCAAGGTCATAAACAACTTCTGATTCAGCGGATGACAAATTGCAATATATCGTTCTGTTGCCATTGTAACAGTCATCCAGGTACTAGCCATAATAAAAACGTTAATGAAGGCCGTTGAATACATTCCATAATATAATATAAAATTCTTCCTCTGATATTTTCCATCTCGAGGGAGGAAAGTAGTGGGAAAGGCAAAAGTACAGAATAATAGATCAGACAATGCTAATCCGATCAAGCAAACATTTGCAGCTTGTTCCACAGTACGATATGATCTTTTCAGTTTTCTCCTTGTAAGAATCGCCAGGTTGAGCATATTTCCCACAATTCCAAACAAACAAACAATCGGAAGACCATAGTCATAAAACACGTTTCGAACTCCTTTAAGTATTGTGTGTTCCGAATCGTTTCCAGTAAAGTTTCTCACTTCCTGTAAGGATGATGTCGTTTCATTAATATCACAATCCATGCTGATGCATTGGTCTGGAAAATAACAACGAAAAGATTGATTATTTACTTGAAATGTCAAAGATTTTTAAGAACAGTAAATATGTTTTCGCTTGATTAAAAGTGATGAAATGAGAAAACTAAAAGAAACAGGCCTCTTTATATGTATATGCGTTCATTTGAAAAAAAGTGTTATCTAAAATAAAGTTTCAGCAGAAACAAAATCTTAAGACATAACTTTGCATTTTATGAAGAAGCTTCTATCAAGAGAGACAAAATTAAAACAAAGCACAAATATTATTGGATGAGCATGTTATCTCACACACACTGATACCATGCAAAAAACCTTGAAAATTGCATATTATGAAAAATTGACTTTGCTAAATATGCATAACCTGTTTTTTTACTTTAAGATAATGTTGGTGCAATTTAGAGAAATAATTACAATTGTAATTAGTATTATCTTAACAAAAGTAATATGCAATTATAAAGTTGCATGCATGCTGGGGTTGATTTAATACATCATAAAGTGAACGTAATTTTATAGTTTGTTGTAAACCTTATTATACACTACTCTAGGAAATAGCAATACAATGAGAGGAAGTCCCATGTTGATTTTGAGGTGACCAAGTCCAAGTCCAAGGTCAAGGTCAATGTTATTAATAAAAAGACAGCACTTTATGCAAAAAAAAAGTGTTTCCGGATGCTAAATCAAATACTACATGTGTAAATGCAACCATACTTTGATATATGGTTACATTATGTATAATGAGAGGACGACCTTTATTGATTTTAGGTCACTACGTTCAAGGTCAAAGTCAAAGTTTTACAAAAGATAGACTGAAATTGTACAGAAAAGCGGTTTCCGGATGTTAAATCGAATACTACATATGTCATTTCAATCTTACTTGGATATATGGTCACATATAACAAGAGAGGAAGACTTCTATTGATATTTTAGTTACTATGTCAAGGTCATCGGTAATAAAAATAGATTTTGCGTTCACAATATTTAAGAACGCTGTAAAGTCCTTTTTTAAATATAATGATCACAACATTTTATGCATTGAACTTCCATACTTTTGAGTCGGAGGATCAATCAATAAAAACTAAGTTTTTATTCATTAAAACATGGGATTTTCTTGTTATAATAGAAAGTATCGTAATCCGAAGAAAAAGAAATCAAAAGAACTTTTTTACAACTTCAATTATATTAATCTATGGACTAGCAGGTCTTCTTAGAGGTTATAAAATGATGAAAAGGGAAAATTCAAATAATTTTTCTCAATTTATTAAACTTGATAACATGCAGCTGCATTTATTTACCTTTTTTTTATAACTGTTTGATTTGATAGGGTCGTCGTCTGGAATTTACATTCCTACTTTTCAAAATTTGAAATTGTTACTACTATTTTGAAATTTTAGTAGCATGACATGTTATGTATTGTCTTGTCTCTGAATAAAACATTTAATCGTAAGTAATGGCAAATAGAACTTGCATTTAGGCATAGGATTAGATCTAATAGGTTGATAACCATGGTAATCCTAGAGGATTAACAAACAGATGTTCCTATAGGATTAACTGGTTGGTGCTCCAGTAGGGCTAACAGTTTGTTTATCGCTGAGGATTAACCGACTGATGGTCCGAATAATAGTCTTAGAGGACTAACAAACAGGTGGTTTTTCAGAACTATTGGATTGACGGTTACTGAGGACGAACAGTTTGTTGATTGTTTACAGTAAACCGGCTGATGACTAACAGAATAATGGTCCTAGATGACTTACAGACTAGTAGAAGAATAAATGACCACATCGTTGGTCCATATTGTTCTCTTAAAGGACTAACATACTGATGACCCTTAAAGACTAACAATATGGTCCCAAAGGGACCAACAGACTGAGACAACTAGTCGACTAATTGTCTAGTAGAACTAAGACATTGGTTATTATAGACATATAGACTGTTGTCCTTATAGCATTAGCATACTGGTAGTCTTAAAGGACAAACTATAATGGTCTATTGTCTTTACACACTGTATACGGGTTGTTATATATTTATTTATTTACGGTGTGGATACTTATAGGTGAAGTAAAATGTTAATTTATTCTTTATTTTTTAGGATGGCGTTCGGTCAGCGAAAATGGTAAGTCTTTTTAGTTCTATTTTGTGCAAATGCATATTTCATACAATATTTTCTAAGTGTAGTTCATTCGACTTTTAAATGAAACGCATATCTGTATATTGGAGACGTTTCAAAGATGGGAAGCTTAGACTGTTCATTAACGTCTTATAGCTTCCAGAAAGATCAAGAATTGTTACGTGATTGCTGTTCGATGTTATCTGATTTATCAAACTATCCCAAACTGTTATATAACTGTCAAAACATAACACTTGATTTTTTCAGCGATAGCTTGATACTTAGAAATGGGGATATGTGGTCTGTAATTTTATTTTGAAGTTTACCTGCTAATACAAAACTTAATAGAACTATTCAAAATAACAGCATGTGTTGCCATTACTTTCTTGTATTGCCTTGAATTAAATGATAATATAGAAGTCGAGTGTGCCCCAGTTATTCCTTTCATACTTTGCCCAGAATTATATGATAATCTGGAAGCCACGTATGCCCCAGCTATTCCTTTCTTTCTTTGCCCAGAAGTAAATGATAATCTAGAAGTCGAGTGTGCCCCAACCATTCCTTTCTTACTTTGCCCAGAATTAAATGATAATCTAGATGTCGAGTGCACCCCATACATAAAGGAGCATTTTTTAGTTTAATACTAGTCATAGTGAATAAGTTTGGTTGTATAGTCTGACTCGTAAGTATGCCAATATATAAATACATCTAGAATATTTTAGGATTACGTTATAACTACCAGGTATTTTATACTAATTCGAAATCTATCAAAAGACAAACATAAAAAAAAATTATTTGAAAGAATGGAAATAAGATAAAACACTGTTTTCCAAGTAGTAATTAAGAGTACAGGAAAACGTTCCATTATTTTATTCATGAAGTAATATGGAATTATCTATTGTAATTTGAATTGACAAGAATAAATTTAACTTTTGGAAAACACATTAAGACATTCATTTCAAGACGTCGTACTCATTTTAGATTGAAATTCAAATCCTGTTATTTGAATTGCTTAAGCTAATTTAATTTTGTCAATGCTTTGGTATTTTTATTTTTCAAATTCTTAAAAATGTAGAATATATTTGTTTAGTACAAATGAAACATTTGATTTGAAAAACGTGTTTAAATTTTTTTTGTGGCTGACTTCATTTATTTTTATGAAAATAAATGGTTATATATGAATCCCCTCTCCCTGAGTCTACATAGAACTATAAATTACATGTATATACGAAAGGCCTTTCTGACCATGTTTCATTATAGTGTTCTATTGTAGACCATGGTGTAAATATATGCAAAATTGAATGAGATGAAATTGGTTGTGTTACCCAGGCTTACCCCTAACGTGCGGATAGATTATCATATTTATGAAGCACCTCTATATTCTTAAAACATAGAAAATTACGTTAACTCTGTTTTGCGAAGATTGATTGATTGATTGGTGTTTAACGCCACTTTCAACACTATTGTGCTATTTCGTGGCGGTCAGTTTTTATTGGTGGAGGAAGCCGGAGAGAACCACCAACCTTCGGTAGGAAACCTGACAATCCTAGTCAATTAAGATTGAAGTCGAGTGCACCTGCCCCGATCTCGATTCGAACTCACAACCTCAGTGTTGACTGGTTAGTGATACAGTAGTTCGACTACTTAGACCACTGGGCCACCGAGGCCCCTTGTTTTTTGCGAAGAAAACGCCTACTTTGTGGTTAATATTTAATATTTAAATATGTTTATACTTGGCATTCTAAACAGGTGTGGTTATGCCTATCGAGAACATTCAAAAATAAAAACACATCTTTTTTTGCCTACTTAAAACTGTCATCAAGAGAACAGGTCATATTCAGTGTTCTGAAACATACAATTCCATGTTGTAAATATCAGCAAAAAAAAAATCAACGATGGGAAATTGTTGGTGTTACTCTGCCTTACCCCCTAACGTGATAAGATTATCATTTTTATGTAGAACGCCTATTCTTTAAACACAGAAATTTATGTTTACCGTTTTGCAGAGAAAACGTCTATTTTAGAATTAATACTTCAAACGTCCTGTGGCAAATTTGTCAAGCATGTTCAGGACGAGAGTAAACTAACAGTACATACTTTAGGTAGGTCCTGTAAATGGCCGTTAAGGATGAAGGTCGGAGAAATTTGGACTACCACGTGCACTTGAAAATAAGGGTATATTGTGAAGGGACAGAAATTATGCCCTGAAACAGACCACCTACAGACCCCTCAAAGAGTTGTTGCAAGGGTTCTTTACGTGTATAGAGCATTTTACTCTCTTTACACGAGGGGCCGGATTTAACCTCCCCATTATGTCCGGAAGTGGTTTCGTACCTGAACATCCCGGACAGCCAAACAGACGGCCCGCTTTGAATAAGACCAAATTGACCATATTTCTATTCCCCAGTCAGCTTTTGGGGATTTCAGATAGATAAAATGTAATATTGAAGAAAGAAAGCACACAATAAAATACATCATAACGAAGAATTTGTTTATTTGAGAACTGTAAAGGACGACACATATTTCGATTAAACATATTTGCCACTGAACGTTAAGCAACCAACACTCAATCAATCGATTAAACATATCATCTTGAATTATTCACTAGACGATAACCTGAGTTTTTATTCTTCTGAAGTGCCAAATGTTAATCTGAGATAGTCATACAATTAAATTTAATACCACAAATTATATTAATATATCATCAATCAAATGTGCTTTGGCAGCAGCACTCAAGGTCAGTAGAAAACCTAATGTTTTGGAATCAGTTGAGACGATCTTCTATATGTAATTCCCACAAAAATGTATTTACATGATTATATGGTTGTTACTTCAAGCCTATTAAGCAGGTGATGTTGGGTCGAATGAAAGCGTAATAGAATAACTATTAGATGAACATTACAAATATAAATGAATTTTGAAAAAAAAAAAAATAGTTTGCTAGAATACTAAGATGAAAAGAAATGGAATTATACCGTAACTACATATAAATCAATGATATTATTTACATTAGTAATATGATTTGTATTGTTTGTTTGTAATCTGTCCTTGAGTAATAATGTAATAGCCAGATAATTTGTTCAAATAAAGAAAAATGATTTCCCTCTTGGAAACTTATCTTTTACAAACGAGACATAAATATTTGACAATGACTATGACATGACGTTATTTGGTCATTAATAACGATAACAAATGAAACATGACGTAATTGGACAGAATGACGAGAAAATCAAAAGAAGCGCCAATACAAATAAAATGTCCCAAGTCTACTAATGGAACAAATTTCTTTAACTGTTCATGCCTTTTATTAGGAAATACGATGTTCGAATTGATATGCATAATCTTAGCGAGTCGTTGCAATGAAACTCGTCATTTCTTAGAAATTAACTGTGATTTTGTTAGATGTTTTTCTACTTTGTATCTTTCTGTTGAGTTAAGCTATTTTCAACTGATTTTTAAAGCAAATGCTTAAATGCTATCGCGTATGGCCATCTTTGTGACGCAAATCAGAGACTCCGCCCAGATCAAGCCATAGTATTTTGTTAAACAGGCTCCTGGTCTGTCATTCTTAAACAACTATGTATGTTTTCTAATGCAATACATAGCTTGAAACTTTTGAAAAACGTTAGTGGATTTAAGAGGTTTCAGCATATGTTCTTGTAGATGTATTTTTGTATTTAGGGGGACAACCGTTTGACTAACAAAAAACATAGAAGTCCGAGTGAAAAAAAAGTGCATTTTTACACCTGCGATTCCGTTCTCTTTTCGTACGATGTTTCAACAAAATATGGAATCATTTCAGTTGTTGATTTAGTATTGAAAATTTACTGAATTATCTCTTATTAAATACGGTTTTATATGTTTAATTGGTGTTTCTCTAAGAAAGAGGCCAGGTGCTCTTGTTCATTCATAAAATTATCGTTCATTCATAAATTTATCGTAAAATCAAAATCACTACACAGGTTATACGTAGTGTCAAATGATTACCTGTAATCTAAAAATAGACAAACTTAACTGACCTATTTTGTTGATTTGTTTGCGCAAATAATTTAGCGGAACGAAACCCTTATTAAAAACACATAACAATAAGTTCGTTTTCCTTTTTTGTCATAACTCCGTAAGATTTATCGATCACCTTACTAATGAAATGGACCCGTCAAAACGTGGTAGATGCCAAGTCCAGATGAAGAGATATTTACAATTTGGAATTTTCTAGTTTCATAGATTCATAGATTGAAAAAAAGTACGTCCTGTTGGATATCATAATCAAAACTGGGTATGCATGACAAATGATGAAACCATTATCCTCGTCTTTCCAGTGGACGAGTCTACTACGTGTGTTGACACTCGACGGTCCACCGTGTTTGCAATTTTATTTCACATGTTTTCGAAATATTGAAGATAATTTTTCGCAATGTTTCCTGAAAATTGATAAATATCAAAGCAACGAAGAGCTGTTTGTTTTTGTTCGTATAATGACGATTTAATGTCATGTTTGTCTGTGATGACCCCCCTTTTCGGGATTCTTGAGAATTATAGTTATCTCGTACCGCATGAGGATGACACATATCAACCGAGCAATAATGTTTGGGACTTAGTTGTAAGAAATGAAGACAAAGTAACATTATGAAAATATTTTTAGTAAGCTGAAATATATATTTATTTTTTACATGTTTATGTCTTGTATTAAAGATATTTTATTTCTTTCCCGTTTTTCAACATTTGCGTCTGGAAAGTTGAAATGTTTTAATTGAATGGTTAAATTTAAAATAATTATGATAATTGTTAAAATTAAATCAATAAAGGAAATTATTGCCCAGTTACAAACACTACCAGGGGATAATTTCATTTTGAGTTATATGTTTCAGCACATGTAAATTTGACCCCAACTTTAGCCTGGTAAACGTGTTGTCTCCTTGTGAAATATAAAACAAATGACTTTCTGCTAAAGTCTTTTATTGATATAAAGTTAAAACCTTCTTACTTCTCACTAGACAACACTCCTGTCAGGTTTAATTCTTATATATATGTGGATGAAAAATAAAAGTCCCCAAAACATTAACATGGCAGCAATTGCTTTTACAGCCTTTAAGGCTTTGATTATAGTTTGTTCTTATGTTGTGCTGTAACACCACTGTCCAGGGTTAGGGGGAGGGTTGAGCGCTCACAAACATGTTTAAACCCGCCACATTCTTTATGTTTTTTTTGTTTTTCGTAAATTGTTTTGTTATAAATTAGGCCGTTAGTTTTCTCAATTGAATTGTGTCATATTT